ATTGTGCCACGCATGTAAGGTATTGCCACAAACGTCAGATTGAGAGCAATAATTCCAGAGCCATAATTCACTGATAACTCTAAACTGCTAGCCTTCAAAAGCTTTTAAAGCATTAACTATGGATTTTTTGGACACCATAGTTGTTTGCAATTTCATGGGCATGTGCAATTTTAAGACTTGACATGTTGGGTATCTATTTACTCGATGCAACCCCATCTTTTATATTTTACCAAACAAACCAGGTATAATATTGTGTTTGCACTAAAATACATTTTAGTGTTTTTTTTTAATTTGCAACTACCACCATTTTATTCTACAGGGTTTCTGCTTTCAGGAAATATATATTTGAGAGAATTTAAAGTAGTTTCTAGCAAACAAGTGCTGAGTTTAACATGTGTTAAAAAAATTACCCTGTGCGTGAAAATGGTTAATAACACATAATTGATGCTTTTCTGGTCAATAATACAATACATATTATTTGATATTATACTACTTTATGTAACACTTATTACTTATTCATGTACACATTTCCTGTACTCAATTAAAAAAATAATGGAGTTGATTTACTAAAGGCAAATAGACTTTGCAAGGGCAGTTGCTCCAGAGCTTAGTAAATGAGATGACACTTCCCTTTGCAAAGAATACCCAATCATACGCAAGGAGAAAAAGATGCATTTTGTCTTGTACATGATTGGATGATTGAAGTCAGCAGAGGTCTCCCTTATTTACTAAGCTCTGGAGCAACTTTACTTTCAGTAAATTTTAAATGCTCAGTCTATTTGCCTTTAGTAAATCAACCCCAATATAATATTAAAAAAGTCATTGTTATCGATAAGCGATGGGAATTATTGCACGATTGATTTTGTCTCTTGCCCCTACGTCTTCAGTGTTGCTCTAGTTGGTTATGTGCAAGTTCTTTTTCTAGGCTCTGCTTAGCATATGGGAGGATGAATGCTTAGATGTGAAAGTGAAAGTAGAAACATCTAATCAGGGAGGACAAGAGAAACACAATGATTGCACACGTTCTGCTGCTTCTTTGCCTTCTACAAACAGGTAATTCTCTGAAAATATTGAGACTATCCTGTATCTAGTGCAGAGGGCATGATGTGGGGAGTGATAGGAAAAGCTCCATGATGCCGGTCCAGTGATTAGGGGAGGAGAGGCTGGTCGCTCTGTAGCACATCCTGAGCTGCATACACATAGAACACAATGTAGCAAAACAGAGAATGTTACTGTCTATAGAAAGGAGGACTAAGTACTATTTCTGTTTGGATGGAGCAGTACTTTACATTATAAAGGGAGACAGTCCAATGACAGTACAATTCAATACCAGAGGGTTAGGATAATGGGGATAATGTTGTGGATCCTCTGACGAGGCCGACCATCCACCTCCTGGGTTATTGTATTTCTGCAGGGAGGGAGAATGGCGTCACATCATGAGAATGCCAAGTAATAGACAATAGACAGTGGAGGGGGCGTATAACATCATTAGGTTCTAGGCAGCATTTCCCAGAAATCATGGGGGTTATTTAATAAAACTGGAGAGTGCAAAATCTGGTGCAGCTCTGCACAGCTTCCAGGTAATTGAACAAGCTGAAATAAGAGGCGGATTGCCTACCATGCACAGCTGCAGGGCTACTGTTAGAAACCACGGGGCCCCTTACAACCAGCGCCTAAAAAAAAAACACAGTTTACAATGTTATAATAACGAATAAACACAGTGAGTGATCAGTACTGATCTCCCATTATGTTTGTTTGTGAGGTGTAGGTGGGACAGAACACACGCAGAGAGCAGTGGGGCACACAAAGCTTTTATTGAGTGATTTGGAGAGCGCACGATGAGTATAGCGAGGTTTTGGCAAAACAAAAGTTAAGTCCGTACCACAGGGTGGGACACATGACAAGGAGCACACAACAGGGCGGCAGACTGGCAGGCAATGGGTTAAGTCCGGGGCACACAACAGAGTGGCAGACTGGCAGGCAAAGGGTTAACTCTGGGGCACACAGCAGAAGACAGGCTCTGGCATGCAATGGGTCAAGTCCGGGCACATAGCAGAAGGCAGACTGGCAGGCAATGGGTTAAGTCCGGGGCACACAGCAGAAGGCAGGCTTTGGCAGGCAAAGGTTAAGTCTGGGGCACACAACAGAGTGTCAGGAATGGACTTGCCAGTAATGGTGGGACTCACCTGCCTTGTGGGCTGCAGTACCAGGGCTGGCCAGCGGGTGCTCCCAGCAATCAGAGACTCAACCCTGCAGCCAGCCAAACACCTGAAACTGCTTATGCAGGTATATTTAAGTGTTGGTCAGACCTGCAGTCTTTGCCTTGGTGTGTGTGTTTTTCCTAGGCCCTGTATCTTGTTCCTGCATTCCTGTTCCTGTTCCTGTCTCATTCGTTGCTGACCCTGCCTGATCCGGACCTCTGCTGACTTCTCCTGTTTTATCCCTGGCTTGTGACCCCGACCATTCTCTGCCTGACCCCCTGTACCTACCTGCCCGATTGTTATTGACCCGGCCTGCCTGACGACGCTTGCATTGTATGTACTGTTATATCTGTGGGTGGTTTGGTTTGGTTTGTTTGCACTGTATTATGTTTTAGTATTGCACTGCGTTTATGTTTGTATTGTTAGTCTTTAATAAATTATATATTGTTTATAACTTATCTGAAGCCTGCGTTTCCCTGCGTCAGTCACATACCTCTGGTCACACCCCGGAGCCCTGACATTACACCAAGGCCAATCCTGACCAGAAGTGGCTGCACAGGGAAGCCATCTTGGCTTGTTGCTGGGAAGGATGGATCTGGATGAGGTTGTGTATTTATCTCTGCTAGTGTTTGATGACAGAGAATATGCTTATCAGACTCTGAGGGAGTATCCCAGGGATGAACTGCTAGAATGTATAGGGATCACTCATGTTCTAGTAGATCAGGGCACAGAATTCTCTGAGGTGCAGCCATTGATTCAGGTTTGTGCTGAGTTGGTTTCATCTGGTACCCCCGAATGCAGGGATGAATTTTTGCCGCCATTTAGTGCAGACCAGGTAGAGTCCCTGGTATGGTTATTAGAGAATGATGTGGATTACTTTCTGGAGCGTTATTCTGCATGTTCACCACAGATACTAAGAGATTGTATAAACGCAGTGCAGTCTTTGACCAGACAGGCTTTGTGTAAGCTGAGCTTTGTTCAACCCATACTGCAGACATGGTCAGACTTGTTGCACCCAGCCTCAGTCAGCTTACAACATCATTCCTCCGCTCAAGGCACTCTTCCTGCATCCCCGACAGCACCCCCAGTGACTGCCTAGTATACTCTAACTACCACATACCAGTCCTCTGCTCCCACTCGCTGCACCTATCCTTTCTTTAACCCTGTAAAGAAGTCCTCTGTAGCAACTGCTCCCTCCTCTGTTCCATCTTCCAGCTCTTCTCTGTCCTCAGCTGCTCCATTCGTTTGCAGACCTGCATTTACTTGCAGTGCCCCAGTAGTTAAAACCAGAAAAAAAGCGGAAATTCTTTCCAGCCAGTACCATCCTGCCAGTATCCAAACCGGTGAGCCTGCCGTCTGAGAACCTGCCTTCCGTGGTTCAGCCTGGTGCCTCGGCACCCGCACTTCAGCCTGATGTCTGTACCCAGCCTGATGAACTGATCCAGCCTGATGATCCTATCACGCCTGATGATCCAGTGCCCGCTGTCGAGCCAGACGATTCGGTACCTGATGACCCGGTGCCCACTGTCATGCCTGGTGACCCGATGCCCGATGTCGTGCCAGATGATCCAATGCCTGATGACCCAGTGCCCGCGGTCATACCTGGTGACCCGATGCCCGCTGTCGAGCCAGACGATCCAATGCCTGATGACCCAGTGCCCGCTGTCATGCCTGGTGACCCATGCCCGCTGTCGAGCCAGACGATCTAGCGCCAGATGACCCGATGCCCGCTGTCGATCCAGACGATCCGGTACCTGATTACCCAGTGCCTGCTGTCATGCCTGGTGACCCGATGCCCGCTGTCGAGCCAGACAATCCAGCGCCAGATGACCCAGTGCCCGCTGTCGTGCCAATTGACTCAGTCCACTGTTGTGCCTGGTGACTCGGTGCCCACTGCCTTGCCAGATGACGCGGTGCCCGCTGTCGAGCCAAATGACCTGATGCCTGGTGACCCGATGCCCGCTGTCGAGCCAGACGATCCAATGTCTGACCCAGTGCCCGCGGTCATGCCTGGTGACTCGGAGCCCACTGTCATACCTGGTGACCCGATGCCCGCTGTCGAGCCAGACAATCCAATGCCTGATGACCCAGTGCCCGCGGTCATGCCTGGTGACCCGATGCCCACTGTCGAGCCAGACGATCCAGCGCCAGATGACCCGGTGCCTGCTGTCGAGCCAGACGATCCGGTACCTGATGACCCGGTGCCCGCTGTCGTGCCAATTGACTCAGAGCCCACTGTCGTGCCTGTTGACTCGGTGCCCATTGCCTTGCCAGATGACTCAGTGCCCGCTGTCGAGCCAAATGACCTGATGCCTGGTGACCCGATGTCCGCTGTCCAGCCAGACGATCCAATGTCTGACCCAGTGCCCGCGGTCATGCCAGTTGACTCAGAGCCCACTGTCGTGCCTGGTGACTCGGTGCCCACTGCCTTGCCAGATGACGCGGTGCCCGATGGCGAGCCAAATGACTTGATGCCTGGTGACCCAGTGCCCGCTGTCATACCTGGTGACCCGATGCCCGCTTTTGAGCCAGACAATCCAATGCCTGATGACCCAGTGCCCGCGGTCATGCTTGGTGATCCGATGCCCGCTCTCGAGCTAGACGATCCAGCGCCAGGTGACCCGGTGCCTGCTGTCGAGCCAGACGATCTGGTACCTGATGACCCGGTGCCCGCTGTCGTGCCCAATTGACTCAGAGCCCACTGTCGTGCCTGGTGACTTGGTGCCCACTGCCTTGCCAGATGACGCGGTGCCCGCTGTCGAGCCAAGTGACCTGATGCCTGGTGACCCGATGCCCACTGTCCAGCCAGACGATCCAATGTCTGACCCAGTGCCAGCGGTCATGCCAGTTGACTCGGAGCCCACTGTCGTGCCTGGTGACTCGGTGCCTGTCGCTCCGCCTGGGGGCCCTAGACCTGTCGCTCCGCCTGGGGGTCCGGCGCCCGCCGCTCCGCCTGGGGGCCCGAGACCTGTCGCTCCGCCTGGGGGTCCGCGCGCCCGCCGCTCCGCCTGGGAGCCCAAGACCTGTCGCTCCGCCTGGGGGTCCGGCGCCCGCCGCTCCACCTGGGGGCCCGAGACCTGTCGCTCCGCCTGGGGGTCTGGCGCCCGCCGCTCCGCCTGGGGGCCCAAAACCTGTCGCTCCGCCTGGGGGCCCGAGACCTGTCGCTCCACCTGGGGGTCCGGCGCCCGCCGCTCCGCCTGGGGGCCCGAGACCTGTCGCTCCGCCTGGGGGTCCGGCGCCCGCCGCTCCGCCTGGGGGCCCGAGACCTGTCGCTCCGCCTGGGGGCCCGAGACCTGTCGCTCCGACTGGGGGTCCGGCGCCCGCCGCTCCGCCTGGGGGCCCGAGACCTGTCGCTCCGCCTGGGGGTCCGGCGCCCGCCGCTCCGCCTGGGGGCCCGAGACCTGTCGCTGCCTGGGGGTCCGGCGCCCGCCGCTCCGCCTGGGGGCCCGAGACCTGTCGCTCCGCCTGGGGGTCCGGCGCCCGCCGCTCCGCCTGGGGGCCCGAGACCTGTCGCTGCCTGGGGGTCCGGCTGGGGGCCCGAGACCTGTCGCTCCGCCTGGGGGTCTGGCGCCCGCCGCTCCGCCTGGGGGCCCAAAACCTGTCGCTCCGCCTGGGGGTCCCGAGACCTGTCGCTCCACCTGGGGGTCCGGCGCCCGCCGCTCCGCCTGGGGGCCCGAGACCTGTCGCTCCGCCTGGGGGTCCGGCGCCCGCCGCTCCGCCTGGGGGCCCGAGACCTGTCGCTCCGCCTGGGGGCCCGAGACCTGTCGCTCCGACTGGGGGTCCGGCGCCCGCCGCTCCGCCTGGGGGCCCGAGACCTGTCGCTCCGCCTGGGGGTCCGGCGCCCGCCGCTCCGCCTGGGGGCCCGAGACCTGTCGCTGCCTGGGGGTCCGGCGCCCGCCGCTCCGCCTGGGGGCCCGAGACCTGTCGCTCCGCCTGGGGGTCCGGCGCCCGCCGCTCCGCCTGGGGGCCCGAGACCTGTCGCTGCCTGGGGGTCCGGGCTGGGGGCCCGAGACCTGTCGCTCCGCCTGGGGGTCCGGCGCCCGCCGCTCCGCCTGGGGGCCCGAGACCTGTCGCTCCGCCTGGGGGTCCGGCGCCCGCCGCTCCGCCTGGGGGCCCGAGACCTGTCGCTCCGCCTGGGGGTCCGGCGCCCGCCGCTCCGCCTGGGGGCTCCGAGACCTGTCGCTCCGCCTGGGGGTCCGGCGCCCGCCGCTCCGCCTGGGGGCCCGAGACCTGTCGCTCCGCCTGGGGGTCCGGCGCCCGCCGCCCTTCCGCCTGGGGGCCCGAGACCTGTCGCTCCGACTGGGGGTCCGGTGCCCGCCGCTCCGCCTGGGGGCCCGAGACCTGTCGCTCCGCCTGGGGGTCTGGCCCCGCCGCTCCGCCTGGGGGCCCGAGACCTGTCGCTCCGCCTGGGGGCCCGAGACCTGTTGCTCCGCCTGGGGGTCCGGCGCCCGCCGCTCCGCCTGGGGGCCCGAGACCTGTCCCTCCTCCTGGGGGTCCAGCGCCCGCCGCTCCGCCTGGGGGCCCGAGACCTGTCGCTCCGCCTGGGGGTCCGGCGCCCGCCGCTCCGCCTGGGGGCCCGAGACCTGTCGCTCCGCCTGGGGGTCCGGCGCCTGCCGCCCCGCCTGGGGGCCCGATGCCTGTCGCCCCGCCTGGGGGCCCGAGACCTGTCGCTCCGCCTGGGGGTCCGGCGCCCGCCGCTCCGCCTGGGGGTCCGGCGCCCCCGCCGCTCCGCCTGGGGGCCCGAGACCTGTCGCTCCGACTGGGGGTCCGGCGCCCGCCGCTCCGCCTGGGGGCCCGAGACCTGTCGCTCCGCCTGGGGGTCCGGCGCCTGCCGCCCCGCCTGGGGGCCCGATGCCTGTCGCCCCGCCTGGGGGCCCGAGACCTGTCGCTCCGCCTGGGGGTCCGGCGCCCGCCGCTCCGCCTGGGGGTCCGGCGCCCGCCGCTCCGCCTGGGGGCCCGAGACCTGTCGCTCCGACTGGGGGTCCGGCGCCCGCCGCTCCGCCTGGGGGCCCGAGACCTGTCGCTCCGCCTGGGGGTCCGGCGCCCGCCGCTCCGCCTGGGGGCCCGAGACCTGTCGCTGCCTGGGGGTCCGGCGCCCGCCGCTCCGCCTGGGGGCCCGAGACCTGTCGCTCCGCCTGGGGGTCCGGCGCCCGCCGCTCCGGCTGGCCCGCCGACCTGTCCGCTCCGCCTGGGGGCCCGGCGCCTGTCGCTCGCCTGGGGGTCCGGAGACCTGTCGCTCCGCCTGGGGGTCCGGCGCCCGCCGCTCCGCCTGGGGGCTCCGAGACCTGTCGCTCCGCCTGGGGGTCCGGCGCCCGCCGCTCCGCCTGGGGGCCCGAGACCTGTCGCTCCGCCTGGGGGTCCGGCGCCCGCCGCTCCGCCTGGGGGCCCGAGACCTGTCGCTCCGCCTGGGGGTCCGGCGCCCGCCGCTCCGCCTGGGGGCTCCGAGACCTGTCGCTCCGCCTGGGGGTCCGGCGCCCGCTGCTCCGCCTGGGGGCCCGAGACCTGTCGCTCCGCCTGGGGGTCCGGCGCCCGCCCCCCTTCCGCCTGGGGGCCCGAGACCTGTCGCTCCGACTGGGGGTCCGGCGCCCGCCGCTCCGCCTGGGGGCCCGAGACCTGTCGCTCCGCCTGGGGGTCTGGCGCCCGCCGCTCCGCCTGGGGGCCCGAGACCTGTCGCTCCGCCTGGGGGCCCGAGACCTGTTGCTCCGCCTGGGGGTCCGGCGCCCGCCGCTCCGCCTGGGGGCCCGAGACCTGTCCCTCCGCCTGGGGGTCCAGCGCCCGCCGCTCCGCCTGGGGGCCCGAGACCTGTCGCTCCGCCTGGGGGTCCGGCGCCCGCCGCTCCGCCTGGGGGGCCCGAGACCTGTCGCTCCGCCTGGGGGTCCGGCGCCTGCCGCCCCGCCTGGGGGCCCGATGCCTGTCGCCCCGCCTGGGGGCCCGAGACCTGTCGCTCCGCCTGGGGGGGTCCGGCGCCCGCCGCTCCGCCTGGGGGTCCGGCGCCCGCCGCTCCGCCTGGGGGCCTGGGGGCCCGAGACCTGTCGCTCCGACTGGGGGTCCGGCGCCCGCCGCTCCGCCTGGGGGCCCGAGACCTGTCGCTCCGCCTGGGGGTCCGGCGCCCGCCGCTCCGCCTGGGGGCCCGAGACCTGTCGCTGCCTGGGGGTCCGGCGCCCGCCGCTCCGCTCCGCCTGGGGGCCCGAGACCTGTCGCTCCGCCTGGGGGTCCGGCGCCCGCCGCTCCGCCTGGGGGCCCCGAGACCTGTCGCTCCGCCTGGGGGTCCGGCGCCCGCCGCTCCGCCTGGGGGCTCCGAGACCTGTCGCTCCGCCTGGGGGTCCCGCCCGCGCCCGCCGCTCCACCTGGGGGCCCGAGACCTGTCGCTCCGCCTGGGGGTCCGGCGCCCGCCGCTCCGCCTGGGGGCCCGAGACCTGTCGCTCCGACTGGGGGGTCCGGCGCCCGCCGCTCCGCCTGGGGGCCCGAGACCTGTCGCTCCGCCTGGGGGTCTGACGCCCGCCGCTCCGCCTGGGGGCCCGAGACCTGTCGCTCCGCCTGGGGGCCCGAGACCTGTTGCTCCGCCTGGGGGTCCGGCGCCCGCCGCTCCGCCTGGGGGCCCGAGACCTGTCCCTCCGCCTGGGGGTCCAGCGCCCGCCGCTCCGCCTGGGGGCCCGAGACCTGTCGCTCCGCCTGGGGGTCCGGCGCCCGCCTGGGGGCCCGAGACCTGTCGCTCCGCCTGGGGGTCCAGCGCCCGTCGCTCCGCCTGGGGGCTCCGAGACCTGTCGCTCCGCCTGGGGGTCCGGCGCCCGCCGCTCCGCCTGGGGGCCCGAGACCTGTCGCTCCGCCTGGGGGTCCGGCGCCCGCCGCCCCGCCGGGGGCCCGATGCCTGTCGCCCCGCCTGGGGGCCCGATGCCTGTCGTCCCGCCTGGGGGCCCGATGCCTGTCGCTCCGCCTGGGGGCCCGGTGCTTGGTGGCCCGGTGCCTGCTCCTCCGCCTGGTGGCCCGGTGTCTGCTGCTCCGCCTGGTGGCCCGGTGCCTGGTGGCCCGGAGCCTGCTGCTCCGCCTGGTGGCCCGGAGCCTGCTCCTTCGCCTGGTGATCCGATGTGCCTCTGCCCGGAGTCCAGCCCGATGTGCCTCTGCCTGGAGTCCAGCCCGATGTGCCTCTGCCCGGAGTCCAACCCGATGTGCCTCTGCCCGGAGTCCAGCCCGATGTGCCTCTGCCTGGAGTCCAGCCCGATGTGCCTCTGCCCGGAGTCCAGCCCGATGTGCCTCTGCCCGGAGTCCAGCCCGATGTGCCGCTGCCCGGAGTCCTGCCCGATGTGCCGCTGCCGGGAGTCCAGCCCGATGTGCCAGTCTTTGATATCCCGCCAGTTACCAGACCCGGGCGGTGGAACATTTTGCCCAGCTAGGACTGTTTGGAGCGTCCTGAGGCCGCTCCTTGAGGGGGGGTACTGTCAGGAATGGACTTGCCAGTAATGGTGGGACTCGCGCCTGCCTTGTGGGCTGCAGTACCAGGGCTGGCCAGTGGGTGCTCCCAGCAATCAGAGACTCAACCCTGCAGCCAGCCAAACACCTGAAACTGCTTATGCAGGTGTATTTAAGTGTTGGCCAGACCTGCAGTCTTTGCCTTGGTGTGTGTGTTTTTCCTAGGCCCTGTATCTTGTTCCTGCATTCCTGTTCCTGTTCCTGTCTCATTCGTTGCTGACCCTGCCTGATCCGGACCTCTGCTGACTTCTCCTGTTTTATCCCTGGCTTGTGACCCCGACCATTCTCTGCCTGACCCCCTGTACCTACCTGCCCGATTGTTATTGGCCCGGCCTGCCTGACGACGCTTGCATTGTATGTACTGTTATCTGTGGGTGGTTTGGTTTGGTTTGTTTGCACTGTGTTATGTTTTAGTATTGCACTGCGTTTATGTTTGTATTGTTAGTCTTTAATAAATTATATTGTTTATAACTTATCTGAAGCCTGCGTTTCCCTGCGTCAGTCACATACCTCTGGTCACACCCCGGAGCCCTGACACAGAGTCACAGACTGGCAGGCAATGGGTTAAGTCCGGGGCACACAACAGGGCGGCAGACTGGCAGGCAATTGGTTAAGTCTGGGGCACACAGCAGAAAGCAGGCTCTGGCAGGCAATAGCTAAAGTCCGGGCACACAGCAGAAGGAAGGCTCTGGCAAGCAATGATTAAGTCCAGGGGGCACACAGCAGAAGACAGGCTCTGGCAAGCAATGGTTAAGTCCAGGGGGCACACAGCAGAAGACAGGCTCTGGCAAGCAATGGTTAAGTCCAGGGGGCACACAGCAGAAGGCAGGCTCTGGCACGCAATGGTTAAGTCTGGGCACACATCAGGGCGGCAGACTGGCAGGCAATGGGTTACGTCTGGGGCACACAGCAGAAGGCAGACTGGCAGGCAATGAGTTAAGTCCCGGCCACACAGCAGAAGGCAGGCTCTGGCAGGCAATGGGTTAAGTATGGGGGCACATAGCAGTAGGCAGACTGGCAGGCAATGGGTTAAGTCTGGGCACACAGCAGAAGGTAGGCTCTGGCAGGCAAGTCCAGGGGGGCACACAACAGCGGGCGGCAGACTGGCAGGCAATGGGTTAAGTCCAGGGGCACACAGCAGAAGGCAGGCTCTGGTAGCCTATGGGTTAAGTCTGGGACACAGCAGTAGGCAGACTGGCAGACAATGGGTTAAGTCCGGGCACACAGCAGAAGGCAGACTGGCAGACAATGGGTTAAGTCCGGGCACACAACAGAGTGGAAGACTGGCAGGCAACGGGTTAAGTCCGGGCACACAACAGGGCAGCAGACTGGCAGGCAATGGGTTAAGTCCAGGGCACACAGCAGAAGGCAATCTCTGGCAGGCAATGGGTTAGGTTCGGGGCACACAACAGGGCAGCAAACTGGCAGGCAATGGGTTAAGTCCGGGGCATACAGCAGAAGGCAGACTTGCAGGCAATGGGTTAAGTCTGGGGCACACAGCAGAAGGCAGGCTGTGACAGGCAATGGGTTAGGTCTGGGGGTACACAGCAGAAGGCAGACTGGCAGTCAGTGGGTTAAGTCTGGGGCACACAGCAGAAGGCAGACTGGCAGGCAATGGGTTAAGTCCAGGCACACAGCAGAATGCAGGCTCTGGCAGGCAGTGGGTTAAGTCGGTGGCACACAGCAGTAGGTAGGCTCTGGCAGGCAAGCGGTTAAGTCCGAGAGCACACAGCAGAAGGCAGACTGATAGGCAACGGGTTAAGTCTGGGCACCCAACAGAAGGAAGGCTCTGGCAGGCAATGGTTAAGTCTGGGGCACATAACAGGGCAGCAGACTGGCAGGCAATGGGTTAAGTTCAGGGCACACAGCAGAAGGCAGGCTCTGGCAGGCAATGGGTTAAGTCTGGAGCACACAGCAGAAGGCAGACTGGCAGGCAATGGGTTAAGTCCGGGGCACACAACAGAAGGCAGGCTCTGGCAGGCAATGGGTTAAGTCAGGGCACACAGCAGAAGGCAGACTGGCAGGCAATGGGTTAAGTCCGGGCACACAGCAGAAGGAAGGCTCTGGCAGGCAATGGGTTAAGTCTGGGGCACACAGCAGAAGGCAGACTGGCAGGCAATGGGTTAAGTCTGGAGCACACAGCAAAAGGCAGGCTCTGGCAGGCAATGGGTTAAGTCTGGGGCACACAGCAGAAGGCAGACTGGCAGGTAATGGGTTAAGTCTGGAGCACACAGCAGAAGGCAGGCTCTGGCAGGCAATGGGTTAAGTTTGGGGCACACAGCAGAAGGCAGACTGGCAGGCAATGGGTTAAGTCTGGAGCACACAGCAGAAGGCAGGCTCTGGCAGGCAACGTAGCAAGTGGGTTTTCAAAAAATGTACGTTTCACCAAGAAGGGAAGAAAGGAGGACCCAGAGGGACAGTTTTTATTTCTAAGAGGAAAATTATTAGTAGTTGAATATATACTAGCTAATGTCTATTGTCCAAATAAAAATCCAATAGTATTCTTGGAGAGTGTGTTAAGGAAACTTTCTGAATGTAAAAAGGGTAGTCTGATGGTGGCAGGAGACTTAACCTCCCTGGCAGTATTCCCGAGTGTAGCTCTGGGTAAAGTTTCAGTACAAGCGGTAACCCCGAGCTACACTCAGGAATACCTTGCAGCGCTGCTCCGGGATCTCTTTACTTACCTTGTCCTGCACTCCCGCAATGTCCCTCCTGCAATGTACCCTGCAATGTCCTCTTGCGGATGCCAGCATCCGTCTTCCGGGTTCCGTTCTCTGCGACGTCAGGACGTACGGGGGACGGAACTGGTGGGAAATTTGAAAGTTCTAAAAGTGACATTCACTAAATTCACATAGTATAACATTACTGTATCAAACCATTTCACATACATTTTGTCCCGAGTGCTTTGTCCTGTGTCCTGCCGGCATTTTTACTGTTCTTTCTGTCTGGAAACTGAGAAATGTCCATGGTATCCAAAAAGTGTCCCTTTAGGTCAAAATCGGTTTTAGACCAGCTAGAGAACAGAGATAGTAAATTAGAATCACTTACAAAATTGAGTGATAATGATTCGTGGAGAAATTCGTCATCAGACACTGAAAACAATTTTGCGACTTTGCTCAGCGATGTGCGAACTTGGAGCTATATTTCAAATTTCATTGTTTTTGGTTTGATTATATTATGGAATTAAATGTATTATTATTATTATTTTTTATGGTTATTTATTAAATTATAATTTATGATTTCGTGTTTCAAATTTTAACATACCCGGGATGTTTACTAGACTCTTGTTCGGACAGATTTCAGTGAGTTATTCGTAAAAATTACAGGCCTACAATAAAAAAAATACATATTTCCATGAAAAAAATGTAACGCTTTGAGCACAGAAATATGGACATAATCAGACCGCTAGGAAGGTTAAATATGAGTCTGGATCCTCAGATGGATGCATCTTCATGTATGCAGAGAGAGGGGAGTAGGGAATCTAAACTATTGAAGGGATTACTATCGAAGTGCAGTTGGATATGTTGAATAGAGGGAAATTGTACAATTTTTCAGAGTTAAAGAAGAAAGAAGATTTAATTTTTTCATTAGATGAGTGGCGGTATGGTCAATTATGTCATTTTGTTTCAACACTCCCACAACCACTGAGAACTATGGAGGATCTGTATCCATTTGAAAAACTGTTGAATGTAACTTCAGTTCCTAAACGAATAACCACCAGAATCTATAGGATTCTTATGGACTTGGAGAGTACCGATCCTCGTCGGTTCTTGGGAAAATGGGAACAGGATATTACATCGAGTAAGGCACACAAACAACAAGTAGATGTTTCACTGTTGTGTTGGGGAGGTTGTGGGGAAAAGGGAACAATGCTACACATATGGTGGGACTGTCTGAAAATACAGGATTATTGAAAGGGAATAATACAATTTATTCAGGAAATATGTGGGA